AGTGAGAACCGACTCCACAGCACACCACCACCACGTGCCAGGAGTCCTGGTGTGGTGCTGTAGGATAAGCACTGGACAGGTAAACCACAAGGTTGGCAGTTCAAGCCCACCAGCAGCTCCTTGGAAATCATATACAGGGTAGCTATGAGTCAGAATCGACTTAATAACAACAGTCATGTGCCAGAGGCTATGTGAGATACTGGAGTTGAATATGCCTGGTCCCTGCCATGAAAAGCGTTCAAGAAAATAGCTATGTTCATTCATACAGAAAACTTCCAGTAAAATGGTCTATCTTTCTCTCTCCTTGTATATTGCTAATTATAAGTATCTTATGCTTTACTATTGGGCATTTAGTTTTTCTCTACGTGAATTTTCACTGACAACAGACAGAATCCACAGGAAAATGTCCTTATGATTCAATTACCACTATTAGAACAATGATATGGCATGAAATATGACTTGGTCAATTGTACTTCGTTTGGGTGACAAAAATGTAAACTTTACATCATTCAAGTAGCTTATTTAATTGTTGCTGTTGTTCAGTGTAGTTGAGTCGGTTCTGACTCAGGGACTCTGTATAGGGTGTTTCTGAGGAGTGGCGGATTCATTTGAACCACCAACTTTGTGGTTAGCAGTCCCGTGTTTATCCTACAGCGCCACACCAGGACTCCTATTTTATCACTGTGGTTCTTGTTAAGTGCCGTAGAGTCGGTTCTAACTTATAGCAACCTGTATAGGGCTTCCGAGAAGCAGCTGGTAGGTTTGAAGGGCTGACCTTGTGGTTTGCTGATCATACTGCACCACACCAGGAGGCAGTGAATTATAATGAAAAGAATACTGGGCAGAGTAAAAGGAAACCTGGGTCCGGGTTCTGGGTTCTGCTCTTGTCTTTTTTCCATAGCTAAGTAGTTCATTTATGAGGAACAATTTTCTCCTCGTCGAAATGGGATAATAGCACTTTTCCTGCCTACCCCAAGCTGTTTATTGTGTTTAACATACCATAGCCTATAACATGGTATGAAGGTAATATCATTATTATAAGGACTGGGCTAAACTAATTCTTCATCCTATGGACAATTCTGGAATAAATCCAGTATTGCCTTGGTCACAACACACATCAGTTATCAGCAAAGCCTTCTTTTCTTACACTTCATTTTAAGTGATTACAAAAATGTATCTGCAAAAGCACACGAAGCCCTACAGTGAATTTTGCTCTTAGAAGAGATCATGGATTTCCTGTTAAATGATAACTATCAGCTAAATTTAATCTTCAAGTGAAATGAAGATTTTGAGGATGGGCATGTATTTAAAGAAGTTCAAAAATTAATGGTTGATCCCTTATGAGCACCATCAGGTCCCACCCACTTCTGCCCAAAGTTACATCATTGTCTTAAAGCCTTCAGAGAAGACCCCTACTAGGGAGAGTCATTCTCCTCTTTGGGGATCAAATTTTATGTCACATGCCCAGATTACAAAAATCTCCTCCAAACCTGGTCAACTGGATTGTCAAGTGTCGATATGTTTTTCTGTGATACGTTCAATTCCATTCCAAATAGCTGGCTTTTCATATTTTGTCATCCCCTATCCCAGTTTATTTTCTGATCAGAAAGTAGCTGAACTAATATCCAAAGAGAAGAACGCCTTCTTTTACTAGGTGCAACAACAAAGAACCATGGCTAGTGGAGAGTTCTACTCTCCAGGTTGAGTACCATATAGAGCCCTGTAAGCTTTTCCCCTTTGGTCTCTTAGTAAACCGACCCACCGCCATTGAAATCAATTCTGACTCATAGCGACCCTATAGGATAGACTAGAACAGCTCCTCAGCGTTTCTGAAACCGTAAATCTTTATGGGAACAGATAGCTTCATCTTTCTCCCATTGAGTGGCTGGTGGATTTGAACACCTAACCTTGTGGTTAGCAGCCCAATGCTTAATCCACGGTGCCACCAGGGCTTCTTCAATTTCATAGTTGTTGTTGCTGTTATTGTGAAGTGCCATTGAGTCGGTTCCGACCCATAGCAATCCTGCATAGGGTTTTCGAGGAGCAGCTGGTGAGCTTGAACCGCCAACCTTGCAGTTCAAAAGTCTTTGCAGTCTGGCGCATTAGCCCACAGTGCCACCCCAGGACTCCTCAATTTCACAGTAGGGCCTGAGAAATGCTGCAGTCCTGTACAATCCTGGAGAGAGAAAGAGAACGGCTCTCTCTCTAGGATTGTGCAGAATTTCTGTACAAACCCAAACCCACTGCCATTGAGTCAATTCTGACTCGTAGCTACCCCACAGGACAGGCTAGAGCAGCCCTCACAGGGTTTCCAAGATTCTAAATCTTTCTGGGAATGAACCGCGGCATCTAGTTCCCATGGAGAAGCTGGCGAATTAGAACCACTGACCTCTTGTTTAGCAGCCAAGCATCTGAACCACTGTGCCACCCAGATTCCCACACTTTATCCATTCCCTTTAAATGGATGGCATAAAACTGGCAGGGGCTGTTTGGTGTTTTGTAGTATTGACTGTCAACGATATTCTTGATGCCAGCTACCAAGCATCAATGATTCTCACTCCTAACACCTTTTGGAAATGCCATGTCTTCATCATAACTCCAATTGAATAAAGAGAAAAAACCAAGCCCACTAAACGCTCTCTTCCACACTTTACAATACCATGACCACTGAAGCTTCATTGTCCTGTTACCTGGCTTCACACCCACCAAAAATTGGATGGAGAAAGAAAAAAGGACGGATATACAGGCAGGTTCTAAAATATTTGTGGAAAATGGAAATAAAAGAGAATGGAATTTTTCCACAAACTTTTTGAAGCCCTCTTATAATTTAAATTCAAAGGTGAATACCATAGTTTCATAATTCCAGATTTTTATGAGCTGGATGAACTCACTAGACCAGAAAGCCATTGGCTAGAAATGATTTCTAACCACTATTCAAGCTTGACTTTTATTTTAACCAGAAACCTAGAACATGAGAAACCTTCTCACTTTTTGAAATAATCTACTGATTCAACCACTGTCATTTAAATTTACCCTTTAACATGAGGGCAAGCAAAGCCAGCCTCTCTCTCTCTCTCCAGTCCTACCCTTCTCTTATAATATGGTTTTCTGCCCCAAACTGATCAACATCAAATAGGAGAAAAAGAAATCCAATTGAAAAAAGATTTGATGTGCCCATTGATATCTCATTAACCTTGAGAGTGAATGTAGCTGGTGATAGCCCGTCACAGTGGCGTGACAGTTTGTTGGGGGGAAAAAAAAGGCCAGTGAAAACATCACCTCAGAAAAATAAAAAATACAAGGAGAAGCATGATTTAGTAGATCATCTATCAAAAAATGGGGCCAGCTTTCAGCACTTGCTAAATGATAGTTTCCTTAAGCCTGTGACGAATCTACTACCTGTTTTCTTGGGAAAGTATTTGGAATAGTATTTATCTGTGTGTCAAATAATGTTCACTGAAGTATTGGAAAAAACACACACACAACTTCATTGTGGGAAGTATAATCATGAGAAAAACAAACATTTTAGGATTAACGTTTCGAAGGGTCTGTGGCGAGTGAACAAGTGTGATGATTTGTATGCCATTAAAACATATCAGGGGGCACACCAAAGTGTTTGGGTCCTAATTCCAGAGAGTCCTAGTCAGATGCCCTTTGTTACTGATTGCTGATTGATAACATGTCAACAGAGAGGAAATAATATAATAATTAGCACGTGCCCAGAGATGAAGGGTTACCTGTAGAAGAAAAGAGGAGGAAAGAGTTCCCCAGGTTCACTGATGGGACTTCCCTTGGGATAAGTGGAAGAGAAATCAAATTGGTTTCTAGTCCCCTAGACAAGGAAACCCACAAGTAACCAGCACCTTCAATTCCTAAGCACCAGGGTTCCAGCTGGGACTGGTTCCTGCCTGCCCCCCTAGCCCCAGAGGAGAACCTTAAATAAACAAGCCACACAATCCCCATTGGGGATTCAGATGGAACCTTCATACCTATTTTTTGCTTTTCTTTCCCACATTGTCCACTTTCCCATGCCTAGTCCTCACTCCTAGGCTTTTCTTAGGAACTTCCTGAAAGTTATCACCATGAACCTCACTTTTCACATCAAATTCCCACCTTGGGCTGATGGTACAACCTGTTTCTGGGAGTGTCACCCTCCAACCAGCTGCTGGGTTGCCAGTGTTCTTCTCTGGGTCACATAACCTTGCTTCTGTCCTCACCCTTCTGGCTCAGCTCCTCACCCTCACCCCCACACCCAAATGCACACAAATAAAGGTATACCAGATCCCTCTTTACCCAAAGAAGTTTTAACCATTCAGAGGAGAGGATCTGCTGTGGAAAATGGAGTAACTGCGGATTACAAACATCTTTGCCCACCATAGAAGGTGGAGACAAATATTCGCTCTAAGGGACGAGAGCAGTAGGGTAGGGACCACACTTCTTTATTTCTGGGTGGGTGGGATGTATTTTCCTTATCACTCTATCTCATATTCCTCAGCCCTCTACCTGTCCCTCCAAGAAGCCTTACCCCAAACACTCTGGGAGGCCCAAGGAAGGAAGAAAAAACTGGGGACAGGGTTTGCTGAATACTCCCCAAACATAATATTTGGTTCTCAAGTAGCAGACTTTCCAGAATATCTTTTCTTATTTTGTTTGCTCCTGGCCCAGTTCCCCTAAAGCCTCCCCGCCCCCAAACCCACTGCAACCAAAACAAGCGCACCGACCACAGCACCGTGGCCGCCGCCGCCGCCCCAACTGTTGCAGCAGCAGCTTGCTGGGGTGGTGGCGGCAGTGGTGCGGGTAAGACAGGGCCCGGACCGGGACACTCCCCTCCTAGGAGGTTGGGAGGTTCCGGAGGCCGCCGAGGGGCGCCCGGTGCAGGGGAACCCCTGCAGCAGTCTGGGATGGGAGAGGCGACGCACTCAGCCCGGACCCCTTCGCAGAGTCAGCCCCACCGTGGCAGCGGTACCGGCAGAGATTGCCCCTGACCGCTTCATTCTCACCTTTAAGATCAGGTCAGTGTGATGCTGGTCCAGCATGTTGGCTTTTTGGAAAGAGGTGACGATGACCCGGCCGTAGCGCCCAGGGGTCTGCAAGTCCGAGTAGAGCCGGTGCTTGGAGCGGTTGACCGGGAAGAGGCTGTTGACGAGGTTGCGCTCGATCTTGGCGAGGCTGTGCTGGGGCGCCAGCAGGTGCTCCACGCTTTCCTCGACCTGGTAGCGGCTGAAGCTGGCGCCGAGCAGGATGGAGATGAGCACAGGCGCCGAGGCGAAGAAGACCGGGTGACTGGCAATGAAGTGGCCGAGCCGGGAGAAACACGTCCTCAAGCCCCTGTGCAGAACCTGCCGCAGCATCCTAGAGCAGAGCGGGCGCGGGAGGAGGGCGAGGCGCACGCTCGGCGCGGGCTCGGGCGGCGGCGGCGGCGGCGGCGGCGGCGAAGGCGAGACCCGGAGCTCTCCCGGAGCCGCGGCACCACCATCGGGGAGTCCCGCGCCGCGCCTCGGAAGGGTCCCCTCGGGCTAGAGACACGCCCTTCTGCCCGCAGCAGCGCTGGTCGGGAAAGCCCCCCAGCCTGGCGGCCTCCGTGTCACCCCCACCCTGCCCTATCTTGCACCTTCCCACACACCCCCACCCCGCCGCCTCCCCGCCCGAGGGGCTCCGGGCTGCGCGGTCGCGTCCCAGCTCAGCCCGGGCGGGGCCCGGAGCACCCCCCGCGTCGCCTCATGACCCCACTCACCAGACCCCAAAGCCAACGACCGGGTTAATGCGGGGAGAGGCGGCGGCGCTATGGCCAGGAGACTCTGCGCGCCAGCAGGGGAACACGAGGACGAATATTTCCAGGCTACACCCAGTCCCCTCCCCCGGCCCGGCCCGCCGCGCGGGCCCCTCCCCTCCCTTCCCTCTCCTCCTCCGGGAAGACCGGGAGATGAATAAAGAAATAGCCCTGGTTTTCCCAAGAAAAAGTAAAGAGTTCTCCCGGGGGGCGCCGGGGGGACCCGCTTAGAGCCAAGTCCCCCAGACGCAGAAAAGAAGGAGGCTGAAGACTGCGTGCGCCCAGGCTCTCGCCAGGCTCAGGTGGTGGCGCGCACTTGCTGGTGCCGAGAGGGGGTGGGGAGCGAAGACGCTCGAACGTGGAAATCACGCCTCCTCTCAAGTAAGAGCCATTTAAAATACTCCAAACACTGCAGCTTTAGCGGGACCACGGAGCTTGGGTGTGCGTCTGTGACACGTCCGCCCAAAATGTGTCCGTGGAGAATCTTTTCTCGCGCCCTCATTTAGATTCACAACAGAGTGGATTGGGGCTAGGCAGTTCTGCTTTGCACACCCCAACCTCCCCACCCCGTCCCCCAGTAATTAAAGTGCTGATAAAGATGGTCTGGCTGTAGAGCCGCCGGTCGCTGGGGTCCCCCTTCTCCTCCCTTCTTTCTCCTGCTCTTTCTGTCGTCACTGGCGGGTCTGGGGGACCAGGTGCGGCGGTCGGCACGGGCGCCCCCGCGGGCGGAGAGTATTTAAAAACGCCTTTCCAGCGAGTCTGTAGCGTTGTCCCTTCTCTTCCCAACAGGAACCCTCTTCTGTTCCAAAAGCATGGATGTGGGCGTGAGGTGGGGGCACCTTATCTCAGACCTGGAGGAATCCTGGTCTCTTAGCGTGTCGAGCCGCCGGGGGCGCGGAGGAGTCCAGTAGGGCGCCGACCGCTAGCCAAAGTTGGGCGTGTGCGTGTGCGCGCCAGCCGTGAGCTCGCAGGCAGCGGCTGTGATTCCCCTCGCACTCCCCCCTCTGGAGAATTCCGCGAGAAGGCGGGCACCGGCTTCGGGCCCGGAATAGACCGGCGGCGGCGGGAAAGGCCACGCACAGGTACAATTTAGCGCGTTTCGTTACGCGCTCCAAGTCCCAGGGCTCACTGCCACGTAGACCGAGCTCTATCTCAGAGTCTGGGCCACTGAGCCGCTTTCTCAGACCAAGTGTGTGGGGACCGGCGCTTGGCACGGGGTCTCCAGGCTGTGCGCCCCGAGCACCAGGCCTCCTCTTTCCGCGCCTCCCTCCGGTCGCTTCTGCTTGGCCTCTCGGTGCTAAGGGTCGAGCCGGGAGGTGGCGAAGGCTGAAGGCGCGGTCCCCAGAGTGTGGCCCGCACTCCAGAGCATGGACTTGCATATTAATCAAAGCTGAAGGAAGACGAAATGGGAAGAGGAGGAGGAGGGAGGAGCTGGAGGAGGAAAGCAGAGAGAAAGAGAAGAGGGACTGAGACAGGACTGTGTAGGAGAACGCAACTCAGGGAGGCTTTTCCCTCAGGTTCCCATCTCAGACTCCCAAGGCCAGGCAGCCCTCCACTTCTCAAACAGAACTTGGGAACTTGCACTTTGCAAACAGGAAGTCGTGGGCTGGGAAATCCTCCTTTTTTGGTCCCTTTCCTCTCTTCCGCCATCCCAAACCCTCCTCCCTCAGCATCACCTGCAACTGCTGCGTTGCCCATCCCGGGGGCGCAAGTACCCTGCTCTGCTTGCGCTCCCTAGGTCTTCCACCTATCCATATCCTGCTTCACTTTCTTTGCTCGCCGTCGCCATTCCGAATCCCGCTCTGTTTCCAAAGGCTCCCCCTGAACGCCTAGGTCCAGCAGCCATCCCCACCCTTCCGCCCCAGGATTGCCATTCCCGTGAGGGACACACTGGGAAGAGCTAGAAATTCCCCTGCAACACTCCACTTGTGCCCTTCCCCCAGTATCTTCATTTCTGCTCTCGGAGATACTGCTGCTCCGCAGCGCTTTGCTGATTCACTATGATCGCAGAGAGAAAAGCCTCATTGACTTGTGCCCCTGCACACAGCGAGGCGAGCGCGAGTTGCTGCGAGGGCACACGCTTTGGGAAACCACCCACCATTGCGCAGCCGAGGTGCTCAATGACAGGGTGGATGCCATGCGTGGCTCTCAGCCAGGACAGAGGGAAAGGGTAGGGATAGGGTGTGTGTGGGGGGGGTGGCGATGGGAATTGCTTGGATCCCAGCTCTTCACTGCTGAGCCTGCAGCAGTCGGTGGGTGGGCATCTCTAAGGAGGCCTGAAGTCTTTCTCAGCGTGGGTAATGAACAGGGATGCTTCTTGTGTCCTGATGCCAGCTCAGGGACAGGAGAAAGAGACAGGAAGGTCTCCTTGGAAGCATTTAACATTTTGGCGAAGCTCTTTTTATTGTGATGTTTTTGTCCCTCCAGTAGTTCCCTGCCAACCTTGATTCACCCTCATCAATCCCAGGAATTTCTGGCCTTTGTTCACATAAGCCCTCACTCAGGTTAAATATGTTGGTGGGAGTTTTGTGTCCCCTGTGTCAGTACCTGGGCCAAATCTTAGAGCAGGAGAAACCCAGCATTGAAAAGCCTTTGAGGCACAGACATTGGCTCCTGATTCTCTCAACTCTATTCCTGCCTGGAGTGTGTTTGAGCAACTTCCACTCTGCTTTTATTTAGAAACAGAACCACCTGGGACTGGATCTTCAAGTCCCTTTTTATTGTGATCCATTCAGCTAGTTGTTGTTGTTGTTAGGTGCCATTGAGTTGGTACTGGACTCATAGCGACCCTATGCACAACAGAACTAAACACTGTTGGGTCCTGGGCCAACCTCACAATTGTTGCCACGCTTGAGCCCATTGATGAATTCAGCTAGTAGTGTTGCCTAAACTGAGTTAAGCAAGAGACAGGTAGAGCAGGAGGTTGGGGCGTGGGGCACTGCCTCCTCCTGATTTTTCTTTTCTTTGGATTTATACATTTAGGGTAGCTTTGCCACCACAGAAGACTTGGGTTTGCATTTGGGACAATGATCTTGGGAACAGAGTTTATACCAGTAATCCATAAATGATTACTTTTCCCGATGAAAAATAATGCACAATAGTGGACAATTATGAAAAGAAAAAGGCACCTATCTCCCCCATCCATCACCTTTCAAAGGTAACCTCTGTTGGTAATTTATTTTGCACCTAGACAAGATAATATAGAGGTCAAGACTACTGATTCTGCAGCCACTGAATTGAATACTTGCTTCACTGCTTACCATCCATGATACAAGGGTAAGTCAAAAAGTATTGCTGTTAGGATTCCAGTTCATACACATACAGGTTTATTACGAACAAAATGTGTTTAAATATGTCTCTGAAATCAGTGGGTGACTACAGACAAGGTCTCCCAGTAAATACCTTACTGTCATTACGGGGGTCTTTGTAGTGTAGTGGATTACAAACTAAACTGCTAATCTCAAGGTCAGTAGTTTAAATCCGCCAGCACTCTGCAGGAGAAAGATGAGGCTTTCTGCTCCAATAAAAATTTACAGCCTCCGAAACTCTATACAGGGTCACTGTGAGTGGGAACCAACTCAGTGACACATAACCAACCACTGCCGCTGCCACCACCAGTCTTATTAGGGTGCCTTCAAGAAAAAGGTCCAATCCAAACAGTGGCTACTGAGGGGATCTGCTAGGCCAGTTCCATTCAGGGCAGAGGTATGGTGACTGTTTTTTGAAATTCCAAAAGGTAAATCTTGATAGAGACCTCATACTTTGGACATGTTATCAGGAGGTACCAGTCCCTGGAGAAGGACATTATGCTTGGAAAAGGGAAGGATCATTGTAAAAGAGGAAGACTCCCCAGGAGATGGATTGACACAATGGCAGCAAAACTGGTCTCAAACACTATAATTATAAGGATGGCCTGGGCCTGGGCAGTGTTTTGTTCTGTTGTGCAGAGAGTTGCAATGAGCCACAACCAACTCACCGGTACTTAACAACAGCAATCTTGATAGACTTTTCTTAAAGGACACAGACAATCACAGGCACTTATCTGGAGGACGTTTTTAAAAAATTGAAAACTGTGTTAGTGAGAAAAAGCACCAAGGGATTTTCTTCCATCATGACACTATACCTGCCCATTTTTCAAGGGTAGCAAGAAGTCTCCTATGAGGATTTTGTTGGGAAATCTTACCCCACTCACCCTACAGCCTTGACTTTGCCCCTTCAAACTTTTTGTTCCCCAAACTCAAAGAACATTGAAAAGGAACATGATTTGAGACCCTAGAGAATGCCAAAATTTCCATTTTGATATGCTGCAAGTGGAAGAGCACAGAAATCTTCTGCAAGGGTTAACCAAACCAAACCCAGATGACACACTGCTGTGGAGTTGATACTGACTCATGGAGATCCTATAGGGCTCCTTAGGGTTTCTAAGGCTGTAAATCTTTTGGGGAGCAGACAGCTTCATCTTTCTCCTGTGGAGGGGCTGGTGTGTTTGAACTGCTGATCATGCAGTTAGAAGTCTATCGCTAGGGAAGGGTTAGAGAAATGGAAATACTGACTTCAAATATGTATAGTCCTACAATTTTCTA